GCACTCTGTCATATTGGCTATGTGAATGAGTGCCCAGATAATCCGAGCACTCGTGCACACATGTTGTCATTCCTGGGTCCCTGAGCCACAGGCAGGCCCCAGATCTCAGGAAGCAGAGGTCACCGATGTCCACGTAGCACTGGTGTCTGCGGATCTCTGGGGTCGGGACCACCAGGCAGCCACCCAGAGAATTACTGCTTGAGGGCTCAAGTGGCTGCTTGCTGGCTTTGGAGTTTTAAGTCAGCAGCTATTTTTAGTTTTTCTATATATGGCTAGGGGAGGAATGAGGGCTGGGGGCGGGGGGGGGCGTGGCAAGAGACTGACCAGGATTTGGGGGGGATGGAGCACCTTTGCCTTCACACCACCCACTCCCACGAGAGAACCAGAGTCTGACTTCCAGCTTCCACAAACAGACCAACCCGAGTCACTCTCAAGCAGGGATGCTCCAGCTTTGACCATGACCTACAGTGAGAACTACCTACAACACCCCACTACCAGACGGTTTTATACATGACAAGTACAAGCGTATATCATTGTGTTACATACGCATGTAATCCCACAATGTTTTATCTGATTCTCTGTGATAATTTTCTACTTCACTGCATCCCATGCTTTCATTTAAAAGGTGCAGATCAGAAGCCACCTTACTGATTTTGCCAGCCCTCCAGTTTGGAAGACCGTTTTCCTCTGAACAGGTAGCCAGTCACATTTGACAGCAATTACCCTGCAGTCAAAGTGGGGAGGGGAGGGGAGGGGAGGGGAGGGGAGCAAAAGGCGCCTTTGGTCAACTGAGATGCAGACCTGCAGCTTCTGGTTTCTGGGCTCTGCTCCTCCACCTGGAGAACTCCCCGCCCCCCCCCCATGCTGTCTCCTCACTCACTCCCTGCTCCAGGAAGCCTCCCTGGAGGCCAGAGTGGGGTCAGCCTCAGGCCTGCTGCTCCCCCAGGGCCCTGTACCCCCCGCTCCTAGCACCCATCTTGCACCATACTACAAGTTCTGTAGCGGGCAGGGGCCTGTTCATTTCACATTCTCCCAGCACGCAGTCTGTGTAGTGCTGGCGTCATCAGAGTCACTCAATAAAGCTTTAGCCAAGGAACTAATGAATAATCGCAACAGTCATGTATTGCACACCCATTTATCCATGAAATATCTTAGTAGAGGTTAGTATAAATCCACTTTAAGGATGAGGAAACGAAAGCTCCTGCGACAATAAACACAGCGGCAGGGCCTGGGGAATCAGTCCCGGTTCTCCCTGCACACACGCTCCTGTTTGCCCACGTTCCCCCGGTGCTACCCGGGATGGGGCAAAGGGCAGGTCCTTAACAAACCCTCAGGGAACTGATGACAGGTTGATTAAAGACATTTTCCGAAGCAGTGGCCACATCTAATTTTGGAGAGTGGCACCTCTTGAGTGGCTTGGAAGAGAGGACCTGTGAAGCTTCCAGGGCCCCTGGACATGGGGTCTTCTTGTTTGTGAGCAGAATCTGGGCCCTGACAAACCGGAGGAGCAACACCTCTGGCCCGCCACACCTCTGGGCACACCTGAGGCAAACACTAGGGCCCTGCAGAGCCTTCTGATCTGGCCCGAGCCCAAAATTCCCTGTCAGCCCTGGCTTGTTCCCCTCGCTCACTCTGTTCCAGTCTCCCTGGCTCCCTGCTGCTCTCACATCTACAGACCTAGCTGCCTCTTGGTCTTCGCAGTTCTAATTCTACTTGATCTCTTTGCTAGTCCTCCCCATCCTGCTTTTCAGACCACTCTATCCAAAACATCCCCCTCTTCCTGCTCTTACTATTTTTTTGGCAACACTAGAAACTTCTGGAGATAGCGTATATGTCTGTTTTTTGGTTTATTTCTATCTTCTTCACTGGACAGAGAGCTCCCTGAGGACTCTGCTTGCTGACAGCTCTGGCCCTGGAACTTTCTGTGGATATACGGACGCATAACAGGCACTCTGTCATATTGGCTATGTGAATGAGTGCCTCCCCTCTTTAGACATACTAGGAATCAGTTCAATTTCCCAGAAAGGTTGTACCTGTGACTCCATCCAGCCCCTGCACCCATGGGGGGGGGGGTGGAGGGGAGGAACATTTGGCACAGATGCACCATGGGCCTCGTGTACCGGGAACTGATGCCTTGGAAGCATACACAGATCAGCTACGTCTTATAGCTGGAGAAACTGAGGCTGGCTCACTCATCTCAGTGCAAAGCACAGTGTCTGGCATCAACCTCTGGTGACTGAATTGCACTGAACTACAGCGGTTCTGCAAATGGCTCAAGGTCAGCGAATTGGGAAGTGTGCAGCCAGAATTTGTCTTCAGCACAGTATTTGTCCCAGTTCCCACCAATGCTATGTGGCTGCCATGAACCCACGGTACCCCCAGAATGTGACCCCATTACCATCCAGACACACAGGAGAGCCAGTCTCCCCATACCCACCAGCCAGTGGCCCGGACAGGAGTCCATCTTGCCCCCCAGGTCACTCTCTGGACCTCAGCTGAGTAAGTGTTCACTCTGGGCTGGTTCATGCCCCTTCCTGCTCCACTCCCAGCCCACTCCTGACTGCCCATTTCCTGCCCTCTGTCATAAAGAAGAGAGAACAGTGACAACTATGATATACTACAAACGCCTGCTGATGTCAAATCTATGTTTTCAATAAGCCTCGGCTTTGAGTTATCTGTGTCAGCTCCTCTTCCCAGAAGTGTACTTTGCAGAGACTTCACAGAATTCTCCTGATCTGGAAGGAGCTTGAAAGACCATTTAAAGCAAGAGCTGACAAACTCTTTCTGGAAAGAGTTAGAAAGTAAACAGGTTGGGCTTTGTAAGCCAAGGCAACATTGTGGATTAAGTTATTTAGGGACTTTTACACCATTGTCACATTGCAAACAGTATTCTTTACAGCCTTTTCAAACATTTCAAAAGGTGAAACCGCTCTCAGCTCACAAATCATACAGGAATAGACAGCAGACTGGCTTGGTCCTCTCCCAGGCATTTGCAAACCCCACATTTAAAGCAAAACGTCTAAACTTTAATATGTATTTAAAAATGCCCAAAAGCATGTTAGCACCGATTTCCAGGCCAGAGACGGAGGTTCAGAAAGCCCAGGGGAGGCCCTGGATTTGCATTTCTAGCTGGCTGGTGGAGGGTGCTGTCTGTCCACCACCCACATTTGCGCAAACACTGATTTTCTAAAGTGCCTCCTTTTAGGGACAAGGAGACTGAGACCCAGAGGAAAGACACACCCCAGGGACTAGGTGCTGTCACTGCTCTGCCTCTTCCCAGGGCACTTTGCCACAGCAAACTTCTCTCCACTTCCTGAACCCCCCAGAACTGAGCCCTTTCGCACATTCCTCCCTCTCTCACCCCGACACTCACCAACAGCTTCCCATCCAGCCCCCTGACCTAGAGCACTCGGGTCCCCCTTAGATCTAGCTGCCTGTCTACCACCACTGGGGCAAACTGGGCATCGTTTGTAGTCTTTGAAGTACAGGCTACACCTTAGTTCCTTCATGTCTAACCCCTTCTACAATGCCTGGCAAATAAGAGATAACAGAAACAGGCCCTGAACAAACAGGGTGGGCGAGTGCCTGGGTGGGTGAGGGCGTGGGTGGGTGGGTGGGCAGACAGACGGCTGGGTGAATGAACACTCCGTGACTTAGGCTTGAAAATAAGGGCCAGGGCCAAGGGGAAATTAGACCCCGCTCCAGCGCTCGGCACATGCCTGGGCTGTCTGTCTACCGAGCAGCGCAGCGGCCGGCCCTGCCAGGGCGCAGGGAGCCAGAACGCACAGGGCAGGCTTGGCACAGCGCTCTGCCCACCCTCCCCACGCGCGGCTTTTGGTACCAGTTAACTAGCAAACAAGTGGATGAGGGCAGCTCCCTGAACCGGGACCCCACCCACCTCCCGGGTCCCCACGGCCCGCCCGCCGCGCTCACCTCCATCCGCGTAGGTCTCAGTGCCATACCCGTCCTGCAAGCCGCTGCTCCAAGTGCCCTCGTACTGGGCGCCGCTGCTGCTGCTCTGCCGGGTGCCGTAGCGGCCCTTGAAGCCGTGCGTCCACTCGCCCTTGTACAGCCAGCGTCCCTTGGTCTCTATGCCCAGCCCGTGCCGCTTGCCCTGGCTCCAGTAGCCCTCGAAGGTGTTGCCGCTGGGCCAGGTGTAGACACCCGCCACTTCAAAGCCGAAGTTCCAGGAGCCCGAGTATTCGCCCTGGCCCTTGGGGCCGGTGCACAGTCCGTGCCCGTGGGCCTTGCCCGCCTCCCAGCCCCCGCAGTAGGCCCCGCCATCGTCAAAGTCAAAGCGGCCTCCGCTCATGTCATCGCAGGCGACCCCGACGGCCTCGCGGTCCTCCAGCTTGCGGGCGAGGGCGGGGGCTGGTGCCCACCACGACGCGCTGCAAGCGGCTCAGGGCTGGGCCCCCAGACTCACCACCGAGCCCCAGGACCGGGAAGGCGAGAGGCCACGGGCGGCGGAAACAGCCCAGGAGCCAAGTCAGCACCGGCAGGGCTGGTCAGTGCCATGTCTGAGCCCCGCGACGCCGCGCGCCCGCCC